CAAGAGACGGGAAATTGCGATTTAGAAAAGATTTGCGCTTTGTGGAGTCTTGTCTTCATTTGAATTTATGCTCCAGTCAACAGCCCGATACATACCAAGAATCTGCATCGCCGCACGGCACGCCGCGCGACCCTCGATGACAAACCACGGTTGTCTTGCCCGTCTCCCAAGAGTTCCAAATGAGAATCGAATACATAGCGCACCTCAGAAAAGGTCCAGTAATAAGTGAAACTGGGAAGGGGCTGTAATGGGCAGGCAGCGGATATGAACTGTAAGGTTTTTGCCGTCTGTGGCTGCAACGGATTCAGTCAGTCCCTATTCCCAGAACTTCACGATTTTCCCTGTATCACAGGATGACCCTGTCATTACCTTGGTGCCTAGGTAACAATCCAAAGGTCTTCGCTCCTTGTTAACCACCTTGTTAAACTAGCCTCTAGTGGAAGTAGTAAGCAGCACATTCCTATGTAGGAGCGATCAGCGGCGATGGGAGCTTGGGAATCTCAGGTGAGGAGATCCGCGATGCGGCGGCATGTACAGTCCTCATCATTGCGGACCGGTGGGGCGTGTCAGCCAGTATGAGTGTGCACACTGTTGAAGCCGTTCTCAGCCTTTTTTTGAAACGCGTATGCGACAAAAAGTGGTAGAAAACGAGTAATACGAAGGATATAATACAGTAATGTCACTTGCCCGCTTCAACAACTGGTGCAGAACGACTTTGGCACCGCGCCAAACGCAGCCGCACTGACACGCCCCACCGGTCCGCAATGATGAGGACTGTACGATCCTGCTTGGCCGCTATGGTTTTTCAAGATAGTCGAATGGTCTTACTGTAGCAAATTCGCGACAAGTCCATTAAGTCCTAGTGTGAATCCGCCACACCGTAGCTCGGAACTCCTCTTCTGCACCCAGAAATCCCCAAATCTCCATCACGCCAATACTTATGCAGCTGTATAAGTCAAAAAAGCTACAATAGGATATGGACCCTCCTAAACGATGATGAGTGCAGCAGTGCAGTGCGCGTGCTGTCGCGAAGCGTCACCTCGCAGTTCCTCACGTCAAAGACTTGGTTTTGACCCTTATTTCGAATAGATGTCGTTTCAGAAAGGAGAGACACTATACTATTTCGTTGAGTTGAAGAGCCTATTCCGACCAACCCCAGGAGACAAATGGATCACCGATGAAGGAGTCCATGTAATCGTGAGTATTTCTTTGAAGTTCTTCAGTATATTTCCCATCTTCTGTACTTCCAAGTAGTCATCAGCCTCTAGCCAGTAAACGAAACTTTCTATAGGTAACCCACGAGATTCCGGAGGAAGAATGCATCAAAGCCGAAGATGGTGACACCATTCATCAGCACTACACTTTGCATCTCGAAGATGGCACTTTTGTTGATTCGAGCTGGAGCCGAAACAAGCCCTTCATTTTTAAGCATAACCAAAATCAGGTTGGTGGAGTTTAGAAGCGTCTATGGTGACAAACTGGATTCTGCTGAAAGCTCTTCACTGACCGGGGGACTGGATGGAAACCTTCAATGAGCCTCTCCCTCCCCCCCCCCCCACCCGGTAACTCTCTATCATTTCATTTGTGTTCCTGCAGATCTACCTTGCTACCTCCAACGGGTGAAATGGGGCGGGGTGTACTGAATCCATAGCAAGGATAAGCCTAACAGTAGCGTGTCGACAAAATCAGGGCCGCTTTCTGAATGAATTTTCTCTTACTTAGCGAAATTATAAGTTCATTGAGACAGAAGGTATACAGTACCTGCAGAAAGTGTGCGTGAAATTAAATGTGTCAGTCCCATGAACACGCAAAGGGTAGGGCAAAGAGCGACTACCGCTTGGTCCGGTCTCTACGTGTAGCCAACTGCTAAGCAGGGTGCAGGGTTGTATGCCCTCGCTGGTTCTACGCACTCAGTTTTACTCACGGTTTTGGATACTGTATCGTGTTATCCTAAACTTGTAGTTCAGTCAACTCCCAAGACTATTTTCTCTTGATTGTCCTCTACGTCCTATGTCCCCAAGTACTGCTCGCTCAGAATCAGAACTTGATCACACCCTTGCCAGGGGAGGGCTTTCATCTGGAGCAACTACCTGGTAACAACTCAATTTCAGCAGATAAATTCCTTACTGGGACAATCCCGTCCCTTTCAAGTCACTCTGTATGGCGTATATGAGAGGTATTTGGGTGCACATTCCACCCTTATCGTGTAGGCTACCAAGACACTCCCAGTTTTTTTTTGAAACAGCTTTCTAGTCCTACTCATTCTGGGCAACAGTTTTTTTTTTGAAACAGCTTTCTAGGCCTACTCATTCTGAGCAACAAAGTTCCATGTGCAATTTGAAAAGCTTGACAAAACTGCTGAATAGACTTTCGCGTGTTCCACGCTGGTTTTTCCTGTGCTTTATTTCTAACACTCCGGGTGAACCTTAAAGCGCATGGCGCATTCCAAATGTACCTGACTGAACAAAGCAAAATGTCTTGCCAAGCACAAATTCTCGAAATTTAATTGTTTAGGTGATTAGCGGTATGGAAATCGGTATGGATGGAATGTGTGAAGGCGAGCGCAGAAAGCTGGTGATCCCGCCGGAGCTCGGTAAGATTTTTCGGTGACTTATTCCCATAATCTGGAAACCTACTATCTACTTAGACCGTTTCCGATAAGAGACAATTAAAATAAGCTTCAAAAAATGGGCTTTAGCACACTGATTTGTTCTAAAATCGTGTGGTTAGAGGCAGTGGGTACAACAGCTGGGAGGATGTAACCAAAACGGCTTGGCAACATTCCATCATCCCTTCCATCAGCGACGTTGGCTGTAACCGCCCCCCCCCCCTCCAGCCATCGTGCCTATTGCCTTTGACTTATGCAAGTTTCCGAGGGGAAATTAGGCTCTCGAAGCGGGACCGATTATGATTAGATAATCATTAAAGATTGATTATAAATTCAAATGTTACCAGAGATTGGCTGAGTTATTTGAGGCGCTGTTCGGCTTAGAGGGGGCATTTTCCACATTCGTTAGCTTCTCTTGCGTGCCTTACTGTTACGCCATGATGACACCTATAGATTCTGTCGAGTACAGTTGTATTTCCTGCTTGAATTCACAGGTCTTTGCAGGGAGCGTTCACTGTGATTGTTTGGAATCAGCAAGCGCCCCCTCCAATCCGAACTGCGCCTTATTTCACTTATTAATTCACAGTATCTCTTGCTGATATGCCTTGATTGTTGAACTAAATCTGATCATATCAGCATATGGTGAGAAAGGACGACCACCACGCATTCCACCTAATGCCCATCTTCATTTCGAGGTAGTGCTCGAAAAAATCATCAAGCCGGAGGAGAAAACGGAGCTCTAAACGGATATTGCCATAGAAACAGGTTGAGAATGTCTGTGATAAATGTTTATTGTTCAATCAATATGAATATTATGAAATTTGTAGGCTTATGGTTTTTTCATGGAAATCTGTTCACATGCACTAGTTTCATAGAATCACCTTCAGCTACAGCACAGATTTCCGTAAGAATAAAAGTAAAATAAAATAAAATCAAAATAAAGTAGAATGGAGTAGTAAAAATAAAAGCAGAGGTTCAGGCGAATTATTGTGAAGATTATACTGGCTACTGATATATTATACTGGCATGGATCTGTTACCTGAATGTCAGAACTTTTGGTGTGGCACCTGGCGCAAAGGGCCAGGGCGCAGAGGAAGAATTTCTGGCACTATTCACGTTTGAAAGCCCCAATCATATAAAATCAGATAAATTCTGACTGACTTTTCTCTCTCAGGGCAGACTTGGCTGAAAATCCGTTTCCAGTAGGTAGCTTGACCACCTAAACAAGAATATCACATCCGCTTGGCTAGCAGATCAGCGCCCGATCCACAGGCGGCGCTAAAATACCGCAGGTCACCAAACTCGCCGAAAACTTGTCCTCGAGGGTACTCTGACCGGCATTTTGAGAAAGTTAAAGTAATGGAGGACTACGTGATAGCACAGCTGCATCTGCTCATCTGCACCCTTTCTACTTACAAGGGAACCCCAACAGGTCGACCCGGCCGTTTGCAATGAGATGTACACATGTGGACGTGTCTTGAGCCGCTGAATCCAAATCTACCCTCCGTTTTTGCGGAACGATTCTCTGAACGGAGTTATGGGGCTTTTTCCACCGCATTTACCACGCAACAGGTCGTGGGATCGAATCCCTGCTGGGCTTCACTTTTTTGCTTCTGCGCAAACGTGGCAAAATGTGGTTTTGCTTTCACTACTACTTCAGTGCTCACCTAATCTTGCCTGAAGAAAACTTTGCGTCCATTTATGAATGCGCCTAGGCACCTTGTAGAAGCCTTGTAGTGCAGGAAAATATTGGGGTGTACAGGTGCCCGTCGTGCGCGATACAGGCGTTTTCACGCTCAGCGAGTGCCATATTCGTGTTCAGCGGGTCAAAATACCTTTATACACAAGTTGCTAGCCAAATCTGGCATTTTGACCTGATTTCCATAATTGAACCATCCATGGGTTAGTTCAGCTGATGTTCACACCTATTCAGCTGCAGATACATTTGCCTGCACAACGCCTTGTCTTGCACCTTCTTACGCATTCATTTTGTTACTGCTCCAGTTTTCCTGGTATATAGAAGAAAATTCCGGCCAAAGACAGGCAATCGACAAGAGACTGGCCCTGGAACTAGTGGTGACCACCATCGGATCAACTGCTACCGGACTTTTGAAGATAGGTCAAGACCTCATATCTGGCTAGAAACCTGACGACCTTCCCTAGTAGTAGTGGCGACCTTCTCCATTCCTCGATGCGAGCTCTAGAAACGGTCATTCTCATTGGAGTTCTCATTCAAGTTTTCAGAAGGTGTAACAGATGGAGCAATGATCGCTTCTATTGTCAAATAATCAGAGATTCAGGTCAACTGGCCAAACAGAAGTGTTCTGGGGACTCATATGGAATGTTCTGAACAAAAGCAAAAATGTTCGGAGTGTCAAGGATTCCAACATGCGACATCGTGTTCCTGAATCAGTGCACTTATCCACTAGGCCATCGGCGACCTGCCGTGAGCAACCATCCCTCTCAACTTATACAACGAGCAAAGATTTGATGGTCCGTAACTCCGTTCAGAGAATCGTTCCGCAAAAACGGAGAGTAGATTTGGATTCAGCGGCTCGAGATACGTCCATATACCTACTTCTCATTGCAAATGGCCGGGTCGACCTGTTGGGGTTCCCTTGTAAGTAGTTACATCTTTCTCTGCTAAGGCTGAGCCTTGGTGAAGGAAGAAATCACTCACAGACAACCAGAAGGAGTGCTACTTTTTCTCGCCTAATCCCCCTTTTTCCCTACACCTATCGGCACGGAACCCACTGAGTCAGTGCTACACGCGCCGGAGTAGGAGGATCAACCATGACGTGCCGTCGCTCGCGACTCGTGCTTCATTTTCAGTCGGAGCCGCTATCCGTGTATAGGGTTCAGGCTACCCATGGAAATAAGTTTCAGCGAATTTGGCGATTCAGGGTATCCTGGCTCCTGTTGTGCGTGCGGCAAGCGGTCTCCGGCCAAGCGGATGTGATATTCGTGTTCACTAGGTTGACTACACGTATAGTGTGGGAGAATATTTTGCTTTGTATCCATGGAGGAAAAATTTGCTAAAAAGCTGGCTTGATTTCGGATGATTGGGGCAGTAAGGTGTAAATAGTGCCACATTTTCAGTTTGAATTCTTCAATACCTGTTACAGGGCTAGTTATGAGCAGTTCTTCCAGCCCTCATTCTTCTTGTTCCGTTGCCGCGGCAGAGAGCACCATTGTCAGCACTTTTGTTTGCGCATGAATCATCTGCGCAGAAGGATTCTTTGGGCATTACGCAGAATGTAATGAAATAGCTCCAGCCAAGACGCACAGCTCTCTCCCAATCATGTTTTTTGTGTAGAACAGAATCAGGAAAATAAATGCCCTTAATGCCCCCGCACTGGAACAGATAGGCTTTCGATGAACTATCCAGCCAACAAGACTCTACTGTCACCTATAGTTCCTTCTTCATTTGCGGGCCAGTCCTCTTTGCCATCATGGAGGGTTTTCGAATAACAGGAGCCGATGGTAAGCTGACTCTGCCCAATGACCACTGGGGACTTGTCTTTAGGGTCAATTTCGATACTCTGTAACCAACAGTGGCTTTGCAGGAGGATAATCAAG